CAAAATTATGGATAATGCTTTTCCTTCATAATGGTGAATCTTTCCGAGCAGCATGGGGTGGGGGAGTCCTACCATGTTTGTTCTATTTTAACACTTTTGTTCACGTTAGACCCAGCCAGAGATCACTTATCACTGTATTTTCAGATTCTATCGTACCTCCATATTTTTGCCAATCCACCTTTATTAAGAAAATGTCTTTGAGTGTTCCAGCCTTACTGCCGTTAAGTCCAAATTACAGAGTGTAACCTTTCATTATAAACAGTTTTCTACTGACACGTAGTACAGAACTTGGCACAAAGAAAACAATGCATCAACAGTAGCTAAACCGGAAAGAACTCACTCCTGCAACCTGGTAAATAAGGGCTCTCTCATCATTTCTTTCTTTTTCTTTTTCTTTTTTTTTTTTTTTCAAGCCCTTCCTTTCACCTGTTATGAAAGAGCCACCCCCAGGGACAGGAAGTTTGTGGCAACACTGATGTTCTGAGTCACTGAAGTAGTCAAGGAAGCAAATTTCAAAACCTCGGTTATTTCATGGGCCCTCCAGGCAAAAGGCTAGTACAGTTTCAGACTTCACAGAACCTTCTGCCAGAATGAATGAACTGGGCACGGTAAGCAGGGGTTTCCCGGGGATCTCTCCAACAAAGTGACAAGACATGTTCTACCTACTCTGTGTAAGCTTTGGGACTCCATACAGTGGGCTCACTCAATAAATCAATAATTAGACCTAGCCCCACAAGTAGAGCAGGTGACAAAAGAAACCAAAAAAAAAAAAAAAAAAAAAAAAAGAAGCAAAATGAGAACTCTGTGGGCTTTTCTGCTCTGATATACCCGCCTGCCACAAGAATGGAATCCAGAAGCCCACTGTTTACGTTAACAAAACTAAGGTTGAACACAGCAAAGGACTCTAGGCAGCGGGACTGCGGGTTCACAAAGGCAGGCTGTATTACCATGAAACTGCTTTGAAAACAGCACAGGGGCTGCTCTGAACCAGAGCCTGGAAATGAAAACTGAGTCCCTTAGCTCCCAGAAATACAGAAACTACCCCCTTGGAGTCACACCTGTACTCAAGGAGGTGGGGCAGAGTGCTGTTTCCTACCAGCTGTATGAACACTAAAGAAGGCATAGAGTACATGGAGCAGGAGGGTGGAGGCACAGGTGGATTATTAGAAGGGAAGACCAAGAGTTTCCTTACCTCGCCCTCCACCGTCAATGCTAAGATTTGGCACAATGGCTGTGAAAGCAACATTCTTGGCCAGCATCCTCCATGTAGCTCTTTGGGTGATGCGCTAAGAAGTATTCCTGAGAAAAGTGTATTGTGAGTGCTTTTCTGCAGAGGAGCTTTCAAAATTAGAGTCATTTACCTTCGAGTTTGATAATTTAGGAGGAAAGTCTGACAGAAATCTAATTGCAAGAGACACACACAATAATCAGTCTGAAGACATATTCAAAATCTTTTCAGAAGTTGAGAGCCAAAATGAAAGAGTGACATGTTTTAACGAGTAAGGCTTACTTAGGTAAAAAGAGTTTTATTGTCTGTAGGAAGCAAAGGCTACATACAGTAGCCTTTGTATGTAACATGGGGAGGGAGAGTCTGGCCACCCATTGGCTCAAATCTAAGCACATGGAGGCCAGGACTCCTTTGGCTCCAAAGACCAGAGGTCCATATTGTGGGGTCACCTTGAACTCCCAAACAATTGGTCAACTTCTCAGCTTTCCTCACCTCTCTGTTACAGCTCTGCCATTTCCACGTCTGCCCAAAGCTTTCTGGAATGCACTTACATTGCCAGTTTGGGCCACCTCTGGGAGCTAATCCATTCCACTGATTCATTACCCACTGTGTGAAGTGGTATTTCCACTGACTTGTCCTGAACTTGCCTTTCTCCAGCTTCCCAGACGCAGCTGCATTTTAGGATCTGAGGAACAAGTCTGCACTCATCTTACCCACGCCACTTACGGTTTCATCATTTCCCCCTAACACCCTACGTCTGGCCAGCAACCCTCCTACCCTTCTTTTAATGGGACTGCTCTCACCTCTGTGGAGCCTGTCCAACTCACAATCTGCCCCGGAGCCACATGTGACCAAGGGTAGCTCTAGATGCAGACAATCACAAAGTCATCAACTGCCCCTAAAACACTGTAAAGTGTGTGTGTGTGTGTGTGTGTGTGTGTGTGTGTGTGTGTGTGTGTTCATTTCAATTTTTCTGTGGTTCTTAAATGTGCATATTGTAGAAGACACTATTGTGTCGCAGTGTTAAAAGGCTGGACGTGCCCGAGCATCGTACGTTGTTGCAGACAAGAATGCACCAGTGTTAGGTGATAATAATGTGTAATATTCTCCATTTAGCATTTCCCACACTGATGAAGATGCCCCTTTTGTTGTTGTCACTGTACAGCGCTCTTCTGGTTGTGTGACCTGATGGGAAACTGCCTCCCACAGGTGGCTTGCACAGGTGAATCAGTGCGGGCCAACACTGCCATTGACTTGTCAGATACAGGACATTACCAAGAGAGATCAAGTGTAGTCAGTCTTCTCTTTCAAAGCAGGCTGCAATTCAATGTTTAATGTCCTATTGGTCCCCGAAATATCTGGGAGAGGGCCAGCAGTTTTTGTCTGAAACATCGTGACATGGAACCAGAGTCCATGAGATGCTAAAGTTAGTGAAGGGTGGTCACCCACAGTGGGGGGTTTCAATTTTCAGTCTTGGTTCACAAATCTTCTATTTGGGGCTTTTGGTTTCTTAATTAGATCTGTTAATGCTCTGATTCACTCCACTTGGAGCTCACTAACCTCTTGACCATCTTAAAAAATCTATACCCCCCCAAAAAAATTAAATAAATAAATAAATAAGAAAACTAATGAGGATTTTAAAAAACTGAAAGAGCACTTGGTTGCCTAGGGCCATGGGTGAGTTCATATAAGAACTGAGATCTTAACTGCCAAGGGGGTGAGACAGGAGGTGAATGCTCTGACTTGCTTTTTCATAAGAGATGCACCATTCCATCCAGAATGTAAACCTCCTGGCCAGAAGTTCGCTCCTTTGCTCGTGCCATAGATGTATCTTTCTCATTGTCAGGACAACAACAGACCCTGTAGCCTTGGCAATTCAGTGACAGCACACCTGCTGTCTTGCCATCTATTAGGTCCCCAGTTTGTCCTCTTACTATACTTGTCTCCCTGGGAACTAAGACAGCATTGAGATGCCACCCTATAGATCAGCATCTGGTTTTTCTTCTGTATCTAACAGTCATACTCAGAAAGCACCAAGCTGGTCTTCTTTGTTTCTTCATTTCATCCCTCTGAGCTGTTGGTTTTTGTTGTTGTTGTTGTTGTTGTTGTTGTTGTTGTTGTCTTTCTGAAAAGCAATGTGACTGTCACCTCAGCCTGAGCCCATCAATAAAGCTGTTCAGGGAAGTATTTGCCATTGTCTTCCCCCACCCAGTAGGTGTCAGCCCAGCTCAAGAGCAGAAGTTCTCCACAGAAGCCATTCTCTCTCCTGATGATGGGGCCTTAGCTATGACCTTGGGGAAGAAAGTTACCATCCTCACAGGGAAGGTCAAATTACATCTCAGCATTCGGGTGGCAGACAGAAGGATTCACTGTTTAAAACTGTAGGTCATGGGGAGACTCAGTCTCCATCACCAGGCTGCACTTAAGATTTTCTGTCATTCCCCAAGCCTGTCTTCCTCCAGCCCAGTGCTCCATTAGACTCTAGACCCCTGCTTCAGATTTGACACACCAGGTAAGCCCTCCATCTAGGCACCACACCCCCACCCCTGCCCTCGGCCTCTGCAGCTGTTGGTGGAGTCCTGGATATGGCTGTATCCTACTGTATCTGTCTGCTTTCACAGCCCGACCTTTCCTCCCCACCCACTCAACCAGACTAACTAGTAAACAGCAGATCTCTGGGACCACTCTTCCCCCTTCTTATTCAAATCGAGATCGATGCAGGACATGATGGAACACACCTTTAATTCCAACACTCAGGAGACATAGCCGGGCAGATCTTTGTGAGGCCAGTCTGGTCTGCAGTGTGAGTTCCAGGCCAGCCAGGCCTATGTAGTGAGACTTGGTTTCAAACAAACAGCAACAGATCTAGTTCAGGTTCTCTCTGCCGGGATTTCTGGCTTTCTCTTTAGCCTGTCAACCCAGGGCCAGCTAGCTTCTCTCAAGTAAACAGGAAGAACACTCTTGTTTCTCGGTTGTGACAGTTGGTTTCACCAGTCATTTTAATTCAGGCACGCAAAGCCCAAAGGGACCCTACAGCTCAGGCATAGCCACGGGAAAGCAAACTACAGCTACACACCTGGTACCTACAATTCTATGGGCAGAATCCCTTATCGTGGCCAGATCTCCCAAGGTAATTCTGGGGAAGCTCCACAGTCGCTTTTGCCATCACACCTTCCCACGGGAAGCCTTGGAGGCACTGAACACACTCTTTATCATCAGAGCCTTTTCGTTTGTGGGCAGAGTTAGACACAAGAGATCTGAATATAAGCACACAAACAAATGAAGTAAAAGGAGAACTCCTGAGAACTTTCTGAAATTAGTTGTCCTCGCCTTCTGTGCTCCTAACAGTCTCAGGTGGCTCCTATCACTTTCCCTCAGTGTCTTCAGGCAGCAGCCAAAGATTTTCCAGAGGATGCCTTGGAGCACACTCACCAGGATACCTAGTCGGGATGAGGCATCATAGCCTGCTTATCCCTTAAGATGTTCCATCCCCTTTCCTGGATGGTGGCCCCTTTTGGCAGCACCGGGCTGTTGGAGTCCCTGAGAACACTGGTGTATCTGTGAGCAGAGCTGACTCTCAGCTCTAGGAGAGCTCGGCAGGCGTCCTGAAGGAGGAGTGCTGGGAGCAAAAGTACGTCACCGCGGGGCGGAGTGGGGGTTCTGGCGGGGAGCCCCGGAGGAAGGGGACTGGGCTGTGACTGTGGTGTGTGCGCCCTAGTTTAAGGCGTGGGCTGGGCTGGGGAGTGGCGGGAGTCAGCCAGTCAGATTCAGGAAGTCGAGTTGAGTTCCTGACCTCAGGAGCAGGGCTGGGAGCTGCGAAACCTCAGTGGGGAACACAGGAGGTGCTTTCCTCCACACCGCATGGGTGGCACCCACTGATCCGCAGCACCGCCTCCTTCCCGGGACCTGGCAGTGGGAGGGAGGGGCTGGAGGAGGGACTGAGACCTCGCCCTTGTGCCCAAGTCACTCCCGACAGCACCCAAGCAGATCCAGCGGTCCCACATGCAGGAAGTCCTCCAGCGGACCCAAAGGTGAGTTTCAAAACTTTCTATAGTGCTTTGTGCTTCATTTTCAAAATACACTCGGGAGCTGCCCCTGGTGTGGAAGGGGACTTCCCACTCATTTCTGTCTATTGGGTGAAATCCGCCCCAGAGAGAAGTGAGATAAAGGAGTTATTTCTAAGAAGCCTCTTGCCGGGTTGCTTTCGTTCTAGCTTGCTTTCCCCCTAGACGTCTTCTTTCTGCTCTTGGCCTGCCACATGGGCTCCTCTGGAGTTTGGGGTGGAGTTCTCAACTCCAGTTGACATCAGCCGTGGGCAGGAACCACTTGAAAAGGAGCAGATGGACACTGTCTCAACAGACAAGGTCAGCATTTGAGATGCTCCTAAAATCACACCGGTTTCGGATTTTTCTTAATCACTCTAAGAGAAACTATAATTTTATCGGGTCTAAGAAACTGACCAACCAAACTGAAAATGTGGCCTGGAGCCGAGGGGTGGAGTGAGACCTGTGTGCTATTCTGAGTTTCCAGAGAATTTGTGTGACAAAGATTTTTTTTTTCCTGAACTTTCCTGACTCTCTAAACTGTCCTTGATATCTTCTTCCCACCGGTGAAGGTAGATGGGAGCACACAGCAGGTTCTGATTCTGTGTGTTTTAAAAGGGCTTTGTAGGAATGATTTGTGTAATAATAGTTAAGTAAATGATAGCCTGATAGATAGCCATGATTCTGAACACCAGCTCTGCCTAACTAAAGGGAGCCTGAAGCAGGGACGAGCACTTGCCCTAATTTAACAGAGAATGCCAGCCAGTCTGCCATGGGAACCTGCAGGCCTTCTCTGCCCAGGACAGAAAGGCAGCACCTAAGCATCTCTTTGGAAGGCACCTGTCCTCCAAAGCCTCTGTGCTGTATCCTGAAGTTCATTGAAGGAACCTTCCTTCTGAAGTCCTGTTGGTGACCAAGAACAAGTCCTAAAAGTTACATGGGTGCATCTTGTCCTTAACCCTTTACAAAGTTTATCATTGCCACCTAAGGAACCCTGCAAATGAAAGTCACTCTTACATTAAGCACAGCTGTGTGTCCTAGTTTTTTGTTATTGTGGTTTTTAATGTAATTTTTTAAAGTAAACCTTTATATTCTATAGAGCTATGTGTGAGTGGGAAACTTCTGCAAAGTTCTCCTACCTTTGAACTAATTCAGACCTATCAAACCATTTAGTCTGATGGGCCTTCCCTTGGCCCAGGACCTCCCTTTTGCTGAAATTCTGCCTCCCCACCTTTCCCCATATCACAGTTCTAGGAAAGAGGCCCATTACAAAACAAATGTTTCTCTGGCCTTCATTGTCAGCATGCTGCCTATAGAATGAAAAGAGGCAAAATCCTCAGGACCAAACCCAAGAAGATAATAAACCCTCAGCAAGCTACTTTATCGGTTTTTATCAGAGGAAGGACACCCCATCCATTCACTAAGTTTTACTGCACCTACTGTGTGTTGGGCAATGTGCCAGAGCTGTGGAATCTAAGGTGATGATATAGTTTCTGCTTTCGAGGAGCCCCAAACTGGCAAATCAATGCTAAGAAACAAACTACAGTTCAGAACTATGTACATCATATTGATAGCAACAGTGAAACCATCCCAGGGATGAGCAGGGATCACCTGGGAAGTAAGCAACCCCAAAGCGGTGCATGAGCAGGGTCTTGAAAATGACCAGCATTTCCCATGGAAGAGGTACTGTGTGTAGGCAAAGGAAAAATCCTTCACAAAGTCAATGGCAGTCGGGAGGAACAGCTCAGAATGGGGCTTATATTCTCTGCTGCCAAGAGCGAAATGTCTTTTTCCAGCTATACTAAGCCATTATTAGGTAGTGAAAAGATACCCGTGTATTGTGTTTGGAGTTACTGAGCAGATGAGAGCTGGCTTGGAGAGAAGAGAAGCAGGGGTCCTCTATGAACAGTGGAGACTGAGGGATGCAAGCTAGGAGGATAGCTCAGAGCTTTCCTGAGATGCCTGAAGGAGAAATTCCTAACATCGTGAAATAACTCTGGATTATTGGCCACAAGTATGACCTATCCATCTACCCAAGTGAGTGGGTAACATCACCCCGTTATACGAAGGAAGAGGAGGAGGAATATTTAGTTCAGTCCAGAATGTACACCCACCTCTTTAGTTACCACACCTGTGTGAGAGACCTGGTTCATCAAAATGAAGAGAATGACTGGATAAGACTAATTCCAGACCCTGCAGAGTTACTCCTAGATTCAAATGACCCTGATCCAGATCTAATGCAACTTGCATGGAAATTTGGGAAAAGAAAAGAAAAAGAAAAAAAAAGACACCTTGATGGCGCTTAGACATGTTCAGTACCTGACGTCATCACTTATCAACCACCCAGGAACAAGTCTGATTCACTCAGCTTCATTTCCTTTGTATTTAAAACAGAGATAATTATTACTCACCGGGGCAATGGTTAGACTCAGAATCCAACTGAAAAAAAGTAAGTGCATTTAATGTGCTACATAAAATTTAAGGCTCTATAAAACATAAGGGCTTATTATTATTATGTCTTGAAGCTACCTAAATCAGATGGGGTGTGTTGGCGCAGGACATGGCAGCGCCACGTGCTAGACTTGCTCTTTTATCTTATGAAATATTTTAAGGCAGCAATGACAAAAGTCTCTCTTTGTCCTATCAGTGATGTGTGTTAGTCTAGCTTCACCTCATCCTTCTCCTTTTCTACGGCTCAACAAAAGGGCCAGAGCCCAAAGAAGAAATGTTCTGATAATATGTGTGCATGCAGGTTGTTCACTGAACAAGAACTTCTAAGCCCTCATGAGGCTAAACATAGCCAGAATTCTATCTGATAGGCCACTGGCCCACCCACCTGGCAGCCGAGTCAACCCACAGGTGACTTCTTTTCTAGTCCTCATGAAGGTACCAGTTTAGTAGGTGGTAGTTCTAAATCTGAACATCAGTTATAGCTAAGGTATATTTGTGGCTGTCTCTCATCCCAACCAGTAAAGCCTGTGTCCTGAAAAGATTCATGTGTATCTCATACTCCACCATAGTGGAGTTTGAATATTACGCCAGCACCAAAACTTTTAAGTGAACAGAGGCTGTTTGTTGATGAAGAAGAGGAAGTAACCATAGATTCAGAGACCTCAAATGGAAAAACAAAACCTCCAGAGATGAACCACCCCTGCCCTCTCACTTCAGAGATGAGCAAACTGGGGTTCAGAGAGGGGAAGTAAATGCCACAGTTATACAACTAGTTTGTGGAGGGACAAGAACCCCAGCACCATTGCTTTCTTTTGGGGTATACCCAGTTCCATCTAAAGTTGGCATTATCTGGACATCTGTATGCAAGACAGAGAAATAAAATGAAAAGATCACATGTAAAAGCTGAATCTTCTTGGAGTGGCTTCTGGGGCAAACTCCAGGTCCTGAAGAGACTCAGCTAGACCTCATATTTTTTTTTTGTTTCTTTTGTTTTTTAATGATTTTATTATTATCATTATTTATTTTTCATTTTACATACCAATCCCAAGCCCAGTTTCCCCTCCCTCCCCTTTTTCCTCCCCTCTGCCTCCCATCCTTGCCACCCCCTATCCACTCCTCAGAGGGGGTAAGGCCTTCCTTGGGGAGTCAACAAAGTCTGGCATATCAAGTTGAGGCAGGGAGGCCACATCTTTTATGACAATATCCAGACCATCCCTGTCTTCCTTTTCTGCAACTTCAATCTTTAACTGTCCTCACGAGTTCCCAAACACTGTTTGAACAGGGAGACCACATACCGGGTGCCTTAAGTAACTAAAACCCTTTCAGTGTTTGCTCAAATAACCATGAAAACTGGTCTCAGATTAGAGTGTGCTCAGAGACCAGCAAGAACTTCCCCTTCTTCACTGGACACCAACGTGTAACTCATTTGTTTGATGAGAAAGGCTTCAGGTGAACGATGGGCAGGCATGAACCTGGTCACAGTTACAGTGAAAGAGGTAAGGACAGTGACAAGAGACACCCCTTCCCTCTCTAAGCAGCAAGGGAAAATCGACAGCAGACACTTTGCTGAGCAGTCCCTAGGGCCACAGATCAGCTTAGGTATCTGTCCTTTCTCCAACATTGTCCAGTGCTGTCTGAGCAGATCATCATCTGGGGCTGTGGAGTAAACATTCAGTGGAGGACAGAATGGGGAGCTGAGTTCTAGAAGGATCTGTATACAAACATGGGATTACTTTGTCAGAGGGAGGTCTCAACCATGGCAGTGTTGAGACCCAGTCCTCATGTCTGACCAGGCACTTGCTCCCACTATTGTAAGCAAGCTACCCCTGGAGTGTTTTCCTCTGAGAAAAGAAAGAAACCATAGCCATTCCTACATTTCTTGGCCTAAACTTGAAGAGAAGAGTGTGCTTATAACCTACTTGAGGCTTGCCCTCACTCTTAACTCTGTAACTTCCCCTCTATGCAGTATTTTTCAGCTGAGTTCATTTTCTCTTCAGAAAGTCTCTCATTTCAAAATGAAGAGGTCTAAGGAAAGCCCATAAGCAATTCCTTTTAGGGATTTTGTTTTGTTTTGTTTTGGGTTTTGTTTTGCTATTAATAAAAGTTGGCAGAAGATAGATAAACATTTGAACAACTATGATGGGACAGTTGCATAGTAGAGAACTTTCAATCTTCAGATCGTTCTACAGGGAAAAGGTCTAGGGTCATGGATACAGAGATGGGACAGAGGCTAGGCCTGAAGGCAGGGAGAAAAACAGTGGGAACTGGGAAGTTCCATTGGTCTTAGTAAATGGAGCAGAATGACACAAGGGACCTGCTGTGGATGGACCTAACTGACATGTGACAGTGGCAACAGTGAATAAGAGAACTCAGATGTCTGAGTCAGAAGCATCCCTGTTTTCTTCCCAACCCAAGTAAGACACCGAGTCTGTTGCCCTCTTCATATGGTTCCTCATCTTTGACTGTCCATGAGTGGGACAAAGTACAGGATTTCAATAGCCCTTCTGCCTGTGGTCTTCATTCACCCAGAACCTTGG